TATAATTTTAATTTCTTTAAGATTACTTGCTCAAAAAACTTACACATATAACCAACTTACACAGACCTTCTTTATCACTTACTTAAACCCTCTTATTTACTTAATCACATAGACTCTCTTATCCAGAAACACATTTTCCTTCTATTAAATCCATTCCTAGAACCTTCTAATTTCTCTTTTCCATCTGTTAACCTCCTTTTCTGTTCACATTTTGAAGCAATCCTTGTAAATTTCTGAATTTAGGCAGATTATTTCATAGACATCAACATTTTATTAGTTTTTTTTTTGATCACCTAGGAAAAACTTGTAAGCTTAATTTTAAAGACATCTATACTTTCATCTGTTTACCCAATTTAAGTTGAACCGTTTAAATCATGTGAATCAAAGATATTTGAATCCATTTTTAAAAATTTTTCATGAGTGCTCTATATATCTGCCAATGTTYATAAAGACATCATTATTTTCATCTGTTGACAACACTTAACRCAACTGTGCMCACATAACATCATAGTAAAGGCCTTGTAGCTTTTCACAGGTGAAATCTCCATTGCAATGTTTAAAAACCCCACAGTTGATATCAACACATTATTGCCCATGTCTTAAAGGGCCAGAAACAGATACCAAAAAAAGACACAGGACAGATAGACTGAAGGGAGCTCCAGACTATGGCTGACAGACAAGAACTTTTAAAACAGATCGGATAAGAGAAAAATCTCCCCAAGTTTCTAACTCCCATTTAATTATGACTCCCACACCAGTGGCACCATAGATGTCCAGATGTTCTCACAGAGGGGAACCAGATGTTCTCACAGTGGACCAGACGTTCTCACAGAGAGGAAAMCAGAAGTGTAAAATCAAGGGTCTCGGTGTGGGAATTTTACTGCATTCAATGTCCCCCTTCTTTTTAAGTAGACAGAGATRGAGCAATCCTTACAGTGCAGGGAAGGAAGGAGGGAGTTCCCCAAAGCAAAAGGAGCTTTGGCAGCTGCTGGGAGTCCCTCAGTCCCTCCTTTTACTTACAGGATAGGCTCCTTGGGTTAGGTCTGAATCCCAGGCACGCTGGCATATCTCCTAACTTTCCAGTAGTYGGCTCTCAAAAGTTAATCCTCTGCTTGCAGTTGTTTGGAGTGCTAGTCTTCCCCAAGAAAGCAGGGCAGGGGCTCCTCTAGAGTCCCCTCTGGGGTGCCAAAATTTGTGACTGAAAGTTCGGTTCCTGTCCTCAAAGCCAATTAATGTCAATTTAATAATGAGGACAGGGTTTTGAGAAAAAGAAAAAGAGAGATATTCAGTTCTTAGATCCCCAGCAGGCATTTCCCTCTGCAGTGGGTGCACTCAAGCCAACTATGGGAAGAAAAGAAAACATTGCTTCCCTAGTCCCATTTAACAAAGGGGAATAAAGTTTATCAAAGTTCTTTAAAACACAGCTAAAAGAGGTGTAAAATAGGAGAACAGAAAAGCTGGCATTCTATTGACTTTTGGTCCCTTACAGGGAAGCAGGWGAAGCATACCAGGGACATTTTCAGGCTAAAATTTAGCTAAAGTTACCTCCACACATCTAAGGCAGATCGGAACTTGGGACACTGCATCTGTCCAAAATAAAACAATGCCRTCACACTTAACAGAGACACAGGCAAAAAGACACACAAAGACGCAGATTCCCTTTTCAGATTGTCGACAAAAATGGAAGTGGGGTGCTGGCCCCAAGCCAACTGGGGCCTTCCCTTCAGACAAACAGATTGGGGAAGTATCCCCCTCAGATTGGGTCTGACGACCCCAGACTGGGAGATTAGTTCCCTTGCCAGGGTRTTAGGGTGGAGACGGACAGGACAATAGAAACAAATACACATAACACAGAATTCGCAGCGCGTCATGGATTGCTACCCAGAAACTAAAAGCAGAAGCCGACCATGGATCCATCAGCTACAAAATACTTTACTAAATACTTCATAAAGTACTTTACTAAAGGCAATCCACTCAGAACCCAGAAGGGGGTGGGATCGTCTCCCACAAACCTCGTTGGCTGCCCTTCGGTGCATCCACCTGGACCTTTTGCCAACCACCCAATACAGAACCAGAACCTGCAGGCAACCAGAGTACAGAAAATTACAGATCGGCAATGCCTTACTTACCAGCCGGGTTTCCATGACCTCTCGATCGGGGTGTCTGGGTAGGCTTATAAGGGGGATCCTAGAYGAGTCCCCATCTGTTATGCTCAAGTTTGGGACCCCCAAAAGACCACCAGAGTCCAAGATCGATGTAAGCAGCAAGAAGGTGTTTATTGCGAGCTAGCTCCGTCCTCCGCACACACACAGCAACTGGTGACACTGAGAGGCCCTGAGCCCAGGGTTTGCAACAGTTTTATACACTCTTTGGGGAAGGCAGGGACCCCCACATACATCATAGCATCTCTTAGCAAATCATCACACACCACGGGAAAATCAAACAACAACTTTAAAACATGATTAGCACAGTCACTGGAGGGAAAAAGTTGGGTAGGGGTGATTGGTTAGTACAAGAGGGGGATTCGTTTGAACTGATTGGTTTAGGCCACGAGGGGAGTACATGCTGAACTACATGGTTTCCCAGCATGCTATCAACCACCATAAACTACTGGGAGGGTCATCTGGCATCCCAGGTATTTTCCCTGTCTCATGCTGATTTGTGGCTGCTAGGGGGTTGCTATGGATCCCCACCTAGCCTGACTGAGTCAGGGACACCTTGCATCACAGATCTCTCCTGTCATTTGCAGCCAAACAACTCAGCAGGGTGGGTATGTGCCTAGGAGTGCTCTGTGGGTCTTTCCAAGGCCAAGGGTTACGCCCGCTTCCTTGGACAGGCTTTGCTCTGAGGTAGAGGCTGTTTTTTCAAAAGAACCATCTCGTTTCACAATGTTTCTACAGTTTTAAAATGTGCTAATATTGGATGTTATTTGAGAAAAGGCATTTATCTTCTGTAGGCTTTAGTATGCTCATCTGAATAGTAAAGATGGAGTACAAGTCGTGAACAAAAACCAACATTATTGAATGCTTACCATATGCATAGTTAGAACTATTCTTGTCTCTCTTTTATAGATCAGGAATTAGTCACAAAGAAGCTAAGCAATTTAGTGTATGATGGAGCTGAAATTCAGATCTAACTTGTTCCAACTCCAGAGCCAGCAGATCTCATCCCTTACCTTGAGATGAAGGATCATGGTCTTCAGAAAGCTAAGGGCAAATGCTGTGGTTTGGGATGTGATATCCTAACTCTAATCTCATGCCCCAGTACCCTTAACCTCCTACCACAGGCTCCAGCAAAGTTTCCCCTTAAACCCCACCAGTTTTCCTGCCTCTATATTTTTAAAACAAGTATTCCCTGAGCTCAACATTTTCTTGTTTAAATGACTTTCTTCATTAACATCTTTAAATTTAGAAAATTATAAACACACCCATACGTGTTTATTTTATATCATATAGAATAAAAGTCAAACTTAAGACTTTTTAAGGTACTACTGTGGTTAGCATTGTTTTGTAAGGAGGAAAAAAATGGTGGTGGTGGTGGTGGTGATATAAGATTATAATGTTCTTTGAAATTTTAAATGCAGATGTCCTGGTAGTTTGTTAAATTGAGATGGTTCCTCAAGGCAGCAGTCCTGTCTAATTTATCCTTGTCCTCACAGCTCAGCATAATGTCTGGCACATAAGAGGCACTCAAAGATATGATGAATTAGATTTTTCCTTCTTTTAAATAATTTCTCTTTGGTTCTACCAAAGTTTGTACTCTGTATCTTTATTGTGATACACATTGTTCTTCTGACACCAGGAATAAGTTTGGTTACTAGGAAAAAGAAACCTTGAGTAACAGTGACATACACGATTACCTCAAAGCTCGGCAGTAYAGGACAGGTGCAGCAACTCTAAGAGGTTCTCAAGCAATCAGCTCTTCCTATCTGTTTCATCTGCTATCCTGACTACAAATCCTTATTCTCATGGTTAAAGGATGTCTGCGGCTCTTCCAGGCATTGTATCTACATTCTTGGAAGAAGAAGAGGAAATTTAGAGGACAAAGAATAAAAAAGTTTGATCTTCTAAAGGTCTTCCCAGGGACTCCCACCTATATTTCATTTATATGGATGTAACTGTGACATGTGGCCACCWCTAGCTGCAAGTGGCTAAGAATTGGAATGTTTGGCTTTTCACCCTCTATAATAGCAAACCAGGGAAAGGGGTTATAGTGGGTGTGTATTGAGCCAACCTGTCGTCTTCCTTACAGATATTTTTAGTTTCTTGGTATAATTTTCTCTTTCCTGGTATACTGCAAACCTATGGAGAGCCAAAGAAAGTGTTTTGTAATCTACAAATTGCCCACATGACTAGCAAGTGGCTACCATAGCGCTTATCACAGTGTCTAAGATACTGTGGTTACTTAGTCACTGGTGTTATATTTTTTTTAATATTTTTTTTTAGTTGTAGATGGACAAAACACCTTTTAAAAAAAATTTTATGTGGTGCTGAGGATTGAACCCAGTGCCTCACATATATGAGGCAAGTGCTCTACCGCTGAGCCACAAACCCAGCCTCTGGTATTGTATTTTTAACTTTAATTTAGAAATAAGAACCAGACAGGAATTAGTGACTGATTTCTCTGAAAATTATGGAATCTGAAGAACTCCCTTGGTGTCTCATTCCTCATATCAACATTGGAAAATTACTTGGGACTTTCCTGCTTCATTGAGTTGGACTGTTAAAGAGAACAATTTAATAGTGATATTGCTCAGAATGTTTTGAAGTATAACTCAAGAAATAGGGTGGGAAAGAAAAATGCGATTGGTTCAACAAGCACTTTTTTTCAGAGAGGTAAAAGGGTAGATAAGAATGAAGACAGTATATTGGAATCAAAGAAGAGATCAGCAATTGAAAATTAAGAATAGTCTAACTTACTTTTAGCCTTGCAGAGTCTTAAGGGACGAAATAAGTAGATTTTCAAATTATTGCTCTGTATTTACACTGTTTCTCTTTCAGAATAGATCTTGTTCCTCTTCTTTGTATTATCGTCTTCATAACTACAAATCATGGGGGATAAAGATAAAACAATTGAATGTCAAGATTCAGAACCATCCACAGGGATGAATCATACAACCTCTGTGTATCAAGAAACACAGGTAAAATGACTGTAGAAATCAAATGTAGAAAATCCTAGCCATTCCTTTAAGGAAGGGATTATGTATTACCAAGCTCTGCTACAACTGCATTCTCCTTGGAGGCATGGTGTGTCACATCTGTAATCCCTGCAACTCCAGAGGCTGAGAGGAAGGAAGATCACAGTTCAAGGCCAGCCTAGGCTATTTATATTTAGCAAGACCCTGTCTTAAGATAAAAATAAAAAAGGTCTGGGATGTAGCCCAGTGGTAAAGCACTTGCCTACCAGTAGCCAAGCCATGGGTTAAATCCCCAGTACTCCTGCTACACACACACACACACACACACACACACACACACACACACACACAGGTTTCTCCTTAATTTCTACTACTCAGTTCATAACTCTCCTTTTCTTAATTCCTAAACATAGCAGTCACAGGGTAGGTGTGACTGCTAGTTTTCCCAAATTACTAAGGTCATCAGTAGCTGTCCTGACCTAAGGCTGGCACACATCTAAAAATAGTGACTTAGTGGTAAACACTCCTAATATTGATCTTGTGCCATCCACTAATTAACTAGTCATGAAATTTATTTTCCTTACAAGGAACTATCCTTGATTCTAGGAAAGGCAATTTGATTTGTAATGTGATGAATGAGTAACTATAAACCTGTGTAGAAAGATACCATATTAAGGATTTTTAAAAATTGCTTTAAATACAGGAAGAGACRGTCATGAACCTTAAAGGTACAGATGGAAATGAACCAACAGAAGGAAGCAACCTGTTACACAGCAGTGAAAAAAAGCTACAAGAAATACCAACTGAATCAAGTGGTTTGCAGAGGCTGAGACAGATATTGGCTTGCCCTCCACATGGTTTACTGGACAGAATCATAACAAACGGTATGTATGTAATAAGAATAGATTCAGAAAGAGAGGGTAAAAGATGAAGTTGCAYTGAGAGATTCCAAAAATCATGTGGTTTAAGAACAAAAAAGAACTTTACTTCTCTCTTACATGAAAACTAGTAGACAAACACTTCACAGTGGTAGGTGACTCAGTTCTGCAGTCACTGAAGGACCAGATTYAAAAGGCTCCATCATCTTCAGCCTGAGGCTTCCAAAATCACTGTGGTCACCACCATTCCAGTGAGTGGGAAAGAGAAAAGAACAGAGACTGAGGAACTTTTCCATCTGTATATTTGGATAATTTTATAAAATTACTTTAGAGTACAGTAGAAAAATGCTTAAGAAATTGCTTATAGATGGTATTGATTGTTATTATTGTTAAAGTAATACAACTAATATTTGAGCAAACACAATTTATACTTCCAAGTGAATCCTCATTATTTTTATTTGTTTTAAGGGTTTTTCTTGTTTCTGTTTGTTTTGTTTTGTTTCCTTTTTGCRGTGCTRGGGATCAAACTCAGGGCCTCATGCTTGGTAGACAAGTGCTTTGCCCCGAGCCAGGTTCCCTGTCATTTCATGAGTAAGGTCTTGAGTTGCAATTCAGCATGTTGTAGCAGGGCTGCCATTACTTAAAATACTTTGAGGATTTGGGGGGCAGAGAATTAATCTTAGCACCATTTTGAATATTGTTAAAATTGGGATATATTTGTCTTTTAGAAATGGTTTTGGTTTTTGGAGGCAGCCAAAGGTCACTCTGTTATCAATTTGATCATTCATTATCAGTTTGATTCAGTGATGCCTTTTGTGTTCAAAAAGGAAGTATGTTTGGGTGTAATGTCAAGGAACATGCAATATAATAGGAAAAAGGAGAAGAGGCTAGAAAACTGTCTAAAAAGGCAAATTTAAAGAGAGTTTTWAAAATTGTGTTGAGGGCTGGAGTTRTGGCTCAGTGTAGCACACTTGCCTAGCATGTGTGAGGCCCTGGGTTCAATTCTCAACMCCAAATATAAATAAATTAAATAAARGTCCATTGACARCTAAAACAAATAATAAAAAAGAAAAAAAATTTAAATTGTGTTGAGAAATGTCAACATCATTTAGTAAATATGTGGCTGCCCATATAGATTATGTGCACTGAAAAAAATGAAGCTCAATTCTTTATAGCTATTCTTCACTTGGGAACTCTGAAAAATATTTTCATTTGACAGCAAAAGCCAAGTATAATAAGTTATACTTTAGGCTCTGGATATGTTTTTAATGAAATCAAGTCCGGTTCTGAACTAGCTCAGAAGGAAATATCAAAGTTTATTTAAAACACATAGAGAAAATCACATCCCAAAACATGCACTACCTAATAAGGGCACAGATAATTTAATACCTTTAACTTTTACCATTTGTTGTGGTTTGGGTATGAGGTGTCCCCCCCAAAGCTCATGTGTGACAATGCAAGAAGGTTTAGAGGAGAAATAACTGAGAGCGTTAACCAGTCAGTGACTTAATCACCTGATGGGATTGAGTGGTAATTGAAGAAAGGTGAGGTGTGGCTGGAGGAGGTAGGGCATTGGGGCATGGCTCTGGGATATATATTTGTATTTGGCAAGTGGAATCTCTCTGGCTGCTTACTGATCATCAGGTGAGCATCTTCCCTCCTACCATACTCTTCCTCACTTTGAGCCCCAAGGAATGGAGCTTGCTGTCTATGGATTTAGGCCATAGACCTCAAACTGTGAGCCCCCAAATAAACTTTAGATCCTCTACAGTTGTTCTGGTCAGGTCCTTTAGTCACAGCAGCAAAATGCTGACCAAAACACCATTCAAACTAAGGTACATTTCTGTTAAAACATTTATAATTAAACAGATTCAGATTGTCATAAGAGTGAAAATGAAGGATGTGATTTGATTGTCTTTTTTTTTTAACAAAGTATATAATCATTGTTCATAAAGCTGCCTGAAAAATGGGGGTCACAGTAGATTAAAAACCTCATCACTTGTTTTACAAGACTACTTTATTCTTTATTTTTTTCCTGCACTCATTAGGTATATAAAAGCATTCTTCCTAAGAAGTAAATCTTACATGTAAAAATATCATTTTCTAAAAAGCATGAACAAGAAATAAATTAGTAACTGATTTAAACATGATTTAGAGAAGCTTATGAATGTGCATTTGCTATGTCCAATTATATTTATCACTTGTAAAGTGGTGCAATTTACTACCAAAGACCCTCATAAGAAATACAGCATGTTCGGATGGGGTTATGGCTCAGTGGTAGAGCGCTTGCCTATCATGTGTTAGACCCTGGGTTTGATTCTCAGCACTGCATATAAATAAATAAAATAAAGGTCTTTTGACAACTAAAAAAATATGAAAGAAGAAGAACAAAAAAAAAAGAAATACAGCATTTTCTGATACAGACTGTTTCTACACTATGAATTAGCTCAGACGCAATGGTAAATCGGGAGTCCCGTCAGTATGATATGGAACTTGCATTTTTGTGTATAAATTTTTCCAATATGGAAAAGGAAAGGAAAGTTAGATTTTTTTTCCATACCAAGGATTGAACCCAGGGCCATATCCCCAGCCCTTTTTATTTTTTATTTTGAGAMAGGTCTCTCCAAATTGCTTAGGGCMTTGCTAAATTGCAGAGGCTGGCCKTGAACTTGTGATCCTCATGCCTCAGCCTCCCAAGTAACTGAGATTATGGAGGTGTGCCACCATGTCTGGCTAGAGTTTTTTTAAAAGTGATTTTAAAGTGGAAAAMGTTCTCTTAATTCTGTCTTGCTGAATTTAGTATAAAGTCAGGTTTATGCTRTGACAAAGTAGGATTTATTTGCTGCCAAATTGTGGTTTCTCAGTCTATCTCTAATATTGCATAATAATTTTAGCCCTTGTAGTCAATTGGAAAATACTTAAGGCTCCTAGTTATTTCATTATATCATTTATTGCAACACTATATCAAGAAAATCTGGAACAAGCCTAGAAAATCTAGAAAAATTCTATGAGGATTTACAAAAGAAACATTGGATTTAGTCTCTAGACAAATTATAAAATCACAATATGCACAAGATCCAATGAACAATCCTATCACTTAAAGGAAATGTCTGAAAAATATTTTAAGCCTTTTTCACGCACCTTTGATCAATCAAGAAAACAAGCAATTATCAGAAACCAAAAATGAAATGTAATTAGGAAAGGTAAATAAGGACTCAGGCCAACTTTCACCCTAGAGGTTTCTGTCAAACCCCAGTGAAATTGAGAATGATTTTGAGATCCACAAGAGCACAGGAAGCCAAGCTAAAGCCTACCTGGGGTGGGAGACATGTAATAGGAGAAATGAGTCTCCTTCACCCACATAACACTGGAACCCAAAGTGATGGTGGATTTCAGGTAAACCTGCTTTGTCAATGGGGCCTGCAACCAAACCTACCTGTCTAAATTGTGGTTGCTAGCCGGTATGTCTGTGTGTGGATTAAGGTGAAGTCCACTAAAAAAGAAAGAAAAAGAAGGGGGGAGAGAGAGAGRAAGCGAGGGAGAGAAGGAGGGAGAAGGTAACTTCACCCTTATTTGTGCTCCAAATTCAAAGAAAAAAAACTCAATCTGAATATACACTTAAAAGTAGTCCTGGATTGTAAACTTGAAAGCACATGGTAGAAGCAAATTCAGATCCCTTCTGGGAAAACTCACATTAGCCTAAGGCTTCAGCAAAAACACAGATGGAGTTCAAGGGAGACTCACTGTTGGGGAAAAAGAAATCACAACCAAAAAGGAAACAAAACAGAGATTTCAAAAGTGTGCATTACTAGCCAGATATGGTGGCACACACCTGTAATCCCAGCTGCATAAGATGAGACAGGAGGATTGTAAATTCCAGGCCAGCTTGGCCAATTTAGTGAGAACCTATCTCAAAATAAAATTTTCAAATTATTAGGGATGTAATTTAGTGGTAGAGTGCTTGCCTGCGTATGAGAAACTCTAGGTTAAGTACCACCCCCCGCCCCCCCAAAAAAAAAGCATTGCCAGAAAATAGACCTTGAAACATTTTTCTAAAGAAGTTAAATAGTAAGTACAAATGTGAATACAAAACAAATACCGATTAAAAYTATATAAATTTGAATAAGAACAAATGTGAACTTCTAGAAAGATGTAGTATAATAATTGAAATTTAAAAAGCAATGGGTAGAGTAAGCAGCAGATGAAGTTAAAAAAATTGATCAACCAGCAAATAGAACTGAAGAGATTATTTAGATTATAGAACACACAAAGATGGAAAATATGAAAATAGTCTTAGCAACATGGAAGTAGAGTGCTTCTACTAATCATAATTTCACAAAATATTAGGGAGGTTGGATAAGAAATATTTGAAGAAATAAAGACAGAATTTTCCAGAATTGTTTTTTTTTAAAAAAACATAAATTCTAAGCACATCAAAAGGAAGCCAATTCTAAACACTTCATTCAAAAATTACAGAAAACCAAAAAAAAAAAATATTTTAAAACAAACCAAAGGGAAAAGTTTCTGGAAAAGGGCCAAAATTAAACTGAATAACAACATTGAAAGCCAGAAAACCAAGGAAGAATATAATCAAGGGATTGAGAAAAAAATAACTCTTCACTTACAATTTAAGGTAAACCTGAGATATACCTAGAAAAGCTATCTTTTAAAATAAGAATAATGTCAGACAACAAAACTAACAATTTTCTTCCAAAGACTGTCATAAGAAATAGAGCATGTTCTGATACAGAATGTTACTAYACCATGAATTAGCACGGATGCAATGGTAAATAGGGAATTGTGTTACTATAATATGCAATTTGCATGTTTGTGCATGTTTTTCCTCACATGTTAATATTTTGCATTGTTAAGCAACAGCAAATGAAGTCAAAGTGAATAAAAAACAAAAAGATCAGGTATGTGTATTCTCACAATTAAAGATTAAAYCTCCTTTACAAGAGGACCTTCTAAAAACTTAAATTCCTATTGAAGTGCCTTATTTTCATAGAGATAATAACTAGTTTAGGGGCATTAGGAAATTTTAAATGTTCCACAACATTAAGCTTATAAAGCAACTAACTACACATGGAGAGAAAGCAGATGAAGATTCTGCCAACAAATTTTCCCTCGGTTAAAWTTTTTTTTTTTTATTAAAGGAGAGCACTGCAATATGGATCAGATTTTGATACAATTGCTTTGTATTTAAAGAAAATATCCTCAAGAATCTACATCTTGAAGTAGGAAGTGTACAAAGAGTAGAGTGCCTGCCTGGGATACAAACGTCTGTGGAGATTTATCTGTGCTGTTACTTTGGTTAGGATTGTGAACATTTTTGTTAGTGGTTAGGTCATAAGTTTCAAGTTTTGAGTAGTTTGTCCTAACTCAGTTTTTCTCATGAGCCTTTCTATTTTTAGCATGTAATTTTATAGAACACCTGTATTCAAACTGGAAACATACTTCACATTTTAGTGGAAATGAATTTACTAAAGAAAATAGTTCGGGTATCAGGATAATTGTCCTAGATGAAAGATTTGAGATGCTATAATGAATGATGACTTTTTTTTAAAAAAGGCAAGAATGTGCATAATTCTAAATCCATGTTGATTGTAGAAAAGAAATAAAGGTAATGTTTAACTGAAGGCAGAACTAACATAACTGAAGTAGGATTAGAGTTCAAGTATTTCATATTCCTAAGAAGAGGGCAAAGATAATGATTTTGTTCTTTTTAGTATTAACTGGTATTTGTGATAAAATTACTAAAAAAATAAATAAAATAAAATAAATAAGGGAATTGGTTTAAAAAAAATCCAAGACAGTGGTTCCTTCTGCAGTGTGCAAAGAGATGGATGAGATTGGAGAGGGCCACATAGGTGGATTCAAAAGTATTAGTAATATCCTGTTTTTTAAAAGTGGTTGGAAACTACCCAGTTGCTCATTTTACTGATGTTCTTTATAATTTGCACATGGCTATAAAGGTTTCTTATGCATTCAATGTTTATTTTTAAAAATTATTTTAGATTGTTTCAAAACCTGCCTATTACAACTTACTTATAGAAACAAGTTTTCCTGATTTGTTTCAGTTACCATGGTTGTTCTTCTGTGGGCTGCAGTTTGGTCAGTTACTGGCAATGAATGTCTTCCTGGAGGAAATTTATTTGGAATTATAATCCTATTCTATTCTACCATCATTGGAGGTAAACTTTTTGGGCTCATTAAGTTACCAACACTGCCTCCTCTTCCTCCTCTTCTTGGTAAGTGCTAAACATTTCCCATTTTCTTCCAATAAATCATATTTTCATAATAGTAGTTTGGAAAGCTTTGGGAAATAAAGAAATAAAGTATGTATTTCTGTATTTGCTGTGTGATAGCCCAAAACCAGTTGGTAAATTTTGAGGAGTTTTTGAGCCAGTTGTTAAACATGGTGATTTTTTAAAATTAAATTATATAAAATTACAATTAAATAACATACATTAAAGAGTAAGAGCAATCAAATACTCAAGACTGATAACTTCCAAATTCTTTTACTGAATTTCCCCATATCTGTGCTCTTGAGATTATGGAAATATCATGTAATGGTGTGCCTTTGCCCATCTCTTCCCACCTCTGGCATGTTGGTAGCTTAAAATTTGGCTGTGTTGCAGGTATGTGTAATACAGAAACCAGTAAATACTACAAATCAGGATTTGTTGTATTGGAAGCATCTCAYGACATTGACAAAGAGGGACATTTGGGAGGTGGGGGTTACTGGGGATTGAACTCAAGGGCACTCAACCACTGAGCCACATCCCCAGCCCTATTTTGTATTTTATTTAGAGACAGGGTCTCACGGAGTTGCTTAGCTTTTGCTGAGGCTGGCTTTGAACTCGTGGTCCTCCTGCCTCAGCCTTCCAAGCCACTTGGATTATAGGTGTGTGCCACCATGCCTGGCAAAAGTGACATTTTAACATATATTTCTATTATTGCCCTTTTGTCTTAATCATTAACATAAATAAAAGTATCAACCAATATTCATGGTGACACTACACTCGCTTACCAAGGATGTGACTTCTTTATGGAATCAGATAGTAGGTAAGCATTTTTAAATCTGATTTTGTCCAATCTTGGTTGAACTGGAAACATTTTTGGTTTTGGATGCAGGAATTTGACAAGCAGTGATGAAAGCATTCTGTGAGAATTAACTGGGGAGTAAAAATGGAAGGCTGTAATTGAGGGTAGGGCAGTACTGCCACTCTRTGTTTGCTGGTAATGTTTTAATTTTACCATGTGCATATTACTCTTATCAATATTTCTTTTAAAAACAGATAGTATAGGTGCTGGGGATATAGCTCAGTTGGTAAAGTGCTTGCCTCACATGCACAAGGCCCTGGGTTCGATCCCCAGCAGCACACGCGAGTGCGCGCGCGCGCACACACACACACACACACACACACACACACAAATAGATACTATAGATTTTTTCACACTGTTACCCAATAAACATTCTAGAAAGACCATGATTACAGAATTGTGAACTCAGAGACTTTCTTCTAGATTAAATGGCTGTAATGAATTAAATAGCAGTAATAGAAATGGTGCATTCTTGCATCATGGCATCTATAGGGAGTCATAAAGTGTACATATAATTTGTTCTCATAAAATATCCCAACTTCAGTTAATTTATTTAGTCATGCAAACTGTGGTGCTTATAAGGACCTGAGGAGAAGCTGCTGCTGCTGGAGAAAAATGGTGGATATAAGCCTCACAGTCTGTCTCAGAGAAATCTTTACCCTGTGGGCATGTGGCATCAGTGAGGGAGAATTCCCTCATAAGCTACAAGACTCAAGTTAGTCACAACTATGTGAAGTTCCCAGAATGTGTCATTTTGTCTTACACCTTTGAATAAACTAGTGTCTCTTCCAGGCATTTTACAATCTTGCAGACCCTTCCCCTTCCCTGGACCCCTTTGCTCACCCTCCCTTTCTCAGTTCATACAACACCCCCTCATGCTTTCCTAATATTGGGGTTGTTAGTTTGTCTTGTTTTCCTAGAGGCTGAAAGTTTGTTGAGGTATAATTCCTGCTGCTTGTCCATTATATTCCTAATACCCACATAGTGTCTGAAATACTAAAGGCAACCAGTAAATATTGGCTGACTGAAGAAGGTGACTGACAGGGCAGTGTTCATTTCAACATAATTTCTAAAGCCTTTGCAGAGTGAGTTATGTGTTTGTTATTAAGTTATCTGGTGTGAAGTGAAATAGAAGCCATGTAAGTACTTATKGATATTTCAAGTAAACTGACATAGCAAGTTATTTCAGGAACTGGTTGCTGTTTGCACACAAAGGGATGACTGAGCTGACACTGAACTGAAACATTTTATGTTTAAGATTTAATTATTATCTCTAGCCAAAAGCTGCATCTTGTWTCTCCTTTTGATCTTTAATTATTTGAGAAATAGTAATTGTTTATTTTGTATTTGTGCTAACTAGTTATATACGACAGTAGAATGCATTTTGACACATCATACATAAATGGAATATAACTTCTCATTTGTCTGGTTGTACATGATGCAGAGTTACACAGGTCATGTAATCACATATGCATTTAGGGTAATAATGTCCAATTCATCCTACTATTTTTCCTACCCCCATGACCCCTTCCTTCCCTTCAATCCCCTCTGTTTAGTCCAAAATACCACTATTCTGCCCCCCACCACCACTTCTTGTGAATTAGCATCCACATATCAGAGAAAACATTTAGCCTTTGGCTCTTTGAAATTGGCTTATTTCACTTAACATAATATTCTCCAGTTCCATCCATTTACCATCAAAAGCCATAAAAGAAATAGTAATTATTTTAATCTTACTTTTTATGTGTATATTAAAATCTTTCTTTGCTCTTCTAATTCATCATATCATTTTATTTTTTTAAATAAAAGTTTAACTCAATTTTATCTAAGGACTAAACATAAGATTATATAATAGTCTCTTTCACATGTAAAATGCTGAAAAATATTGTCTTACATTTGAAAACTGATTCATTCTTGTTTGACTTCTCCATTCAAGGCATGCTGCTTGCTGGATTTCTCCTCAGAAATATTCCAGTCATCAGTGATAATGTACAGATCAAGCACAAGTGGTCCTCCTCTCTGAGAAGCATAGCCCTGTCTATTATACTGGTTCGTGCTGGCCTTGGTCTAGATTCAAAGGTATAAAATATAAATTTCTTACTATTGAATAGGAATTTTGTTCCTCTAACATTCCATATCTTTAGAATCACTGAGCTTCGGGAATTGGATAGAGATACTTTGTATGACATTCTCAAGAAGAAAATATAATTTATTTCATGCAGAGTTATTTTGCAGGTAAGACCTTGTGCCTCACAGGAACTCAGAAGATAKTCTCATACTCTTTCTTGGAGAAAGGTGGAGGTACTATGTGTGGTGACAACACAAGAATAGAAGCTCTCCTTTTCTCTGACAGAGCTATAGGCCATAGTAATAAATAATGATGATGGGAAGTGGGGAACAATATATTTTTGGTGTGCAAAACCCTTTGTAAGTATGTAGGACTAATTATGCTGATTCAGGAAACTGCTTAGTATATTGAATGAATGCTTTTTCTTAATGCTTTTTTCATATATTTTGGAATGCAGAAATGAATGTCCTTAGGGGATGAAGCTCTTCACTTGGCCTCATTCTGGGCCCCAGACTATAAGTAAAACGAATACTGAGAAGGTTAAGTCAGCTAGTGTGAGGATTGTGAGTACTCACTCCAGAAGCCACCTACCTGGGTGCATACCTGGCCCCATCACTCACCAATTTCATGACCTTTGAAAACATGACTTGGACTTGTGCCTTTTCAGATTTTAAAAATATGGATAGTACCATTACCTATCTCATGGGGTTACTGTGAGGATTACATAAGCTGTCTCTAAAACACTTAGGATGCTAAAATGTTTGTTAAAACTAACTACCTGGGAAGTTTTTGATGACCCAGACACAGTCTRAATGCTGAAGAGAAAGCATTTACGGTTGTGTCTCTGCATGTCTTCAGAGGATTATATTAGTATGCTTACTTTTATATTCCAGGCACTGAAGAAGTTGAAGGGTGTGTGTGTACGACTGTCCATGGGTCCCTGTCTCGTGGAGGCATGCACATCTGCTCTTCTTGCCCACTTCCTAATGGGTTTACCATGGCAGTGGGGATTTATACTGGGGTAATGGGTTTTTTTTTTTTTGCTTTGTTGTATGAAAATATGGAGGGATATTAAGGACTTTCTTTGATCCCATACAAGAGAATACATAATAGTATTTTCTTAAGAACACCAGAAAATGCAGCAGAGATAATCCAGTATCATCTAAATATTCTAACTTCAAACTATGGTCTGTGTCTCTTTAGACACTAACTTTTATGGTAATTACGATAATTCAAACTATTGAAGAAGGTGTGGTCTTTTGTCAGATGGAGATCTGATTATAAGCTTGTGAGAGAGATGCTGGATCTTACCCCAGAGTCTACACAAAGGATGATTAACATAGCACTCATGATCAACACCTGCCACAGTGTCCCTTCTACTAGCAGCCTTTTATTCCTAATACTTAATAGCCATGAGAAGCAAATAAATAAAGAAGTACTTAGTAGGAATTTAGTGCTAATAAGTAGGCTAGAAGGATGAAATTCTTCTCATGGTTAAGATTCTGGATTACTTGGCATCCAATCCCAACTTTGTGATTTTCCAGAGTGTGATTTTTGACAAATTATGTAGTCTGTCTGTACTTCAATTTCCTCATTTATAAAATGAAGGTAGACTGTATCAATCTCATAGGGCTGTTMGGAAGATTAAATTAGTTAATATATGTGAAGTGCTCAAAGTGGTGTTAGGCACATAAAATGTTCTTCGGTATTACAACTGCTGCTATTATTATTTTTTTAGTTGTAGATGGACATGATATCTTTATTATTTATTTATTTATTATTATGTGGTGCTGAGGATTGMACCCAGTGCCTCACACATGTGAGGCAAGCACTCTAACGCAGCCCACAACTGCTGCRATTATTAAGATCACTGTCACTGTCATTGCGGCTCTCTTGTTTGAATCTGTTGCCTTGATTTGCATACCAAGCTCTAATTAAAGATCCAGCATCATTGGGTACAAGTTCAGAACAACCATGGYCATTTTTCTGACCTCTTAAAATGAATGGTTTGTTTTTAAAAAGGTAGCTTTGCCGGGGCCTAACCCAATGAAGACTTCTGTACCATTCATAAATATTTATTCTAGGCAACCTAAATAGTTCCCAAACAGGTTGGTCATGGGTATACTTATTTTGGAAAACAATGTTCTGTAGAACTTTCATGTGTATAGTGTTTCTCTGCCATTCAAGATTATAGCTGTCCAAAATCTAAAAATCTAAAGCAATAGAGGTTGTTGTAAAATTTTTTTTTTTTAAATAATAAGAATGGGCAGAATACGGTGACATGTGACTGAAGCAGCCTGTACTTAGTTTTGTCCTAGGAGCCGTGTCTCCAGCTGTTGTGGTGCCATCCATGCTCCTTTTGCAGGCAGGAGGCTATGGTGTTGAGAAGGGGGTCCCAACCCTACTCATGGCTGCTGGCAGCTTCGATGACATTCTGGCCATCACCGGCTTCAACACATGCTTGGGCATGGCCTTTTCCACAGGTAGACTAATCTGTTCCTATGTTGGTCTCTCATTCTTGAGAGACATAGGTTAAAATGTTGGAAGCATAGCATTTTTGCCTAAGGTAAATTCAAAATCGGGGAAACAAGGGTAAAAGTCCTGAACCTAGAGAGGCACCGAAGTATCTATATTCACTTCTTCCCTTTAGATACAGATTGCCCAAGGAGTGAGCAGCCAGTGCAAGCAAGTTTAAAGCCTTCCTTGGAGAGATCTAGGAAAACTTAATTCTAGAGATTTCACACAAAGAAAAATAAAAGCAACGATTTTAATGGGTAGCATACTAATAGTAATACATACTGCAATGGATGTATTTTGTTTCAAGTAGTAACAAAAGAGAAACTGAAGGCATTCCTCTCTGCTGTTATTTAATACCTTTACTGAAAGGATGTTAAMAGATACTACACTTGATCTTAGGCAAAAGGCTTAGAAGAGATTCAGCACCTTTATTATCCTTTGACATAGCACAAGATTAAGTTTCTTTTTTAATCTTTTGCAAAAATTGGAAAATAAAATTTGTAACTTCCTATTATTGACAGAGTGTAATTATAGACTAAATTTAGCTTCAGATTCTTCAGTAAAAACACTTTTTTGAAAATTTGCTATTCTCATTCTCTTCAATCCCTACAGTTATCTTTCCATTTTATGATTATATATGATTCATACAGATTATCTAGAACCTCATCCCTTGTTATTTTTCAGAATCAGCCTTCCCCAGTCCTGGTAAATTACATCATCTTTTCAAAACATTATTTTCATGATGTTACTTTCTTGTTCAAGCACCAATAAAAATTAAAAATTTTCTTTTTACCCTATGAGTTCCAATTGACATTCTTGTCTTAATTTTAACTCTCCTCAACCTATGCAGACCATGTTCTAGCTGCTTTCCTGGTATGTCTTTAAAACAATTGTTCTCAGCCTTGAAAGCACATTAGAATTATCTGGGGAATAGTCTTTTAAAATACTGTTATGTAGACATTACCTTAGACCAATTAAACCAGAGCTCTTGGGAATGGAAACCAGTGCTGCCAGGATGAGGAACCACTGCTTTGAGCAGAGTCTGCATTAACATCACAGTGAGGACTGGGAAGAAGGGGATGAGGTGAGAAATGGAGTTGAGAAGAGGGTCCAGGTTGGGGAGGGCGGAGGGGAAGAATGTGATAACTTCAAGAACCTTCCAAGCTGATTCTGTCATGTTAATCTACCTTACCCCCTAAATTTGGTCCTCTGACCTTTTGGATCTGAACCCTGATAGGTTACTGAATTAGAAATTTCAGGGGAGATGCCCAATGTGTGTAAATGTGTGTATGTGTGTGTGTGTGTGTGTGTACATATGTGTGTGTGTGTACATATGTGTGTGTGTGTGTGTGTGTGTATTAATACCAGTGATTGAACCCAGAGGTGCCTAAACACTGAGCCACATCCCCAGCCTTTTTTTTTTTTTTAATTTTGAGACAGGTTTTTTTTTTTATAAAGACCTTATTTTACAAAAGACTGAAACTAATTAGCTACTGTATTTCACCACATAGTCATTGCTACTGCATTAACATATATTCACAAGTATCCCATACATCCTAATCATGCATCAAAAAGTTTAGTAATAAATGATTTTTAAGTAATACTAGCACAATTTAAAAATAAAAGTTTTGAGTAATGGTTGCACCCCACATTTTATAAAAAACAAACAACAAACAAACAAAAACTTGGTAAAAAATCTACAATGATTAACAGTGGTATTTGATACATTTTTTTCACTTAGAATAAATTATTGACTATAACAGCTTGAGCACAATACTGCTATTGTAGCTAGAGGCTTTTGACAGGCACACCATTTACCTAGCAGAGATACATTAGCTAAATGAAATTACATCAGAGGGAGTTCTTTTTAAATAAGATAAGTGATTGCCATAATAACAAGAAATCACAATAAGTAGTACAGTTATTTCCTTAGGACAGTCTTGAAGAATTGCTGATGTGTAGGACAATTTTAATATAATTTTCTATACAATGTGCTAACAAAGATTGTTTTAAAAATTAGTTTCCAAAATCCTATTTGCTGTGAGGGGAGAAATGTAGGTTCTKTTTACTGCTTTATTATAATATTTCAAAGAGGTTAGGCAACAAAGAGCCTTCTAGGGGAAATTTCAAAAATAATTTCAGATTTATTTTTAGAGTAAACATTTTAGAAGAAGAAGACAGTTCTTGATTTTAATGACCAGATTCTTTTTCCCCACTGCAACACTGGAGGTTCAACTCAGGGTCTCACACACTCACAAAAGGAAAGTGCTCTACTACAGAGCTACATCCCCAGTTCATACAAGGTCCTTAAGTTACGGTATTCCATACAAATCAGAGCTACTAAAATCAATGTCTATCTGCTACTAAAATCAATGTCTATCTGTTAATTTTTTTTTTAATATCCAGCTCTTAAGTGGTAATTTGACAACTTAACTACATCTGTTTACTTCCTTTGCCTATACATATAATGTAGTAGAACAAGCTAGGTCTGAGTCATGAATTGAATTTTTCACAATTTGTCAGGCCTTTTAAGTAGATAAGGTAAACATAAAGAAATGCATAAATTATACCTTATGCTTGTTTTGAAATTGGTTCCCAATAATCTGAATACTCTTATAAGATAGACCCATTTTATTAGACATTTAAAAACACTTAGATTTAAGAATGTAAAGAGTGGGGCTGGGGATGTGGCTCAAGTAGTAGCGCACTCGCYCGCCTGGCATGTGTGAGTYACTGGGTTCGATCCTCAGCAYCACATAAAAATAAAATAAAGATATTGTGTYCACCTAAAACTAAAAAGAAAATATWAAAAAAGAATCAGCTACTTAAAAARAAAGAATGTAAAGAGTAGGAAATGTTTGTAAGAATTTCGTTCCACATATTAGGTGCTTTCTGTTGGTGGTTGTGGTCTAAAGCTTGTGTATTTTATGGATTTAGAGTTCTGGAGTTTTTCTTTTTTGTGTTTTTCAGGCTCCACAGTTTTTAATGTCCTCAGAGGTGTCTTGGAGGTGGTAATTGGTGTGGCAACTGGATCTCTTCTTGGATTTTTTAATCAGTATTTTCCAAGCTGTGACCAGGTGAAAGAATTAATCTGTAGGAAAGTTACACTCTAAAATGTCATTAGAAAAACATTTTAGAATACTTCCCTTAAAGTGGATATGAGGGACATGTTTCATAAAATGGTTCATCTTTTTAAAGTTGCTTATTGCTATGTCTATGCTATTCATGAAATTTATGATGAAGGCTGAAATATATGAGATTTTAATGCAGTCCTGGGTTATATTTGTATTTTATATGAATACATTATATTATATAAAATATATTATGTACATTTTGAATTTCACATTAAAATAAATAACATCAATTCCAAAATAATAAGATATGCGTGTTTTTTGAAGTTTCATAATACTCAACTAAGTTAAGATTATATGATGGCCTTTTTGGATCCTCTTTTTTAGAATCAAAATTTCTTAGATTCTAATATTTTCAAATAGATAAGACTTTTAACATCTTATTAAAATACAGTAAAGCATTTCTTTTCAAGTATATCAAAGTTCTTGACTATACACAATTATTTCCTAATGAGAAACAAATGTTTTGTTTTCTTCTCCTATTTCTTGYTGAGCAGATAAACCTATGAAAATATGTTCTTTCTATAAATTGGCCTTATTCTGAAGTTTCTGAGTACTTTGAAGAGAATCATAAACTTAACAACTATAAATAAATTTAATTAATAAAAATAATGGTGGATGCGGTGATACATGCCTATAATCCCAGCAGCTAGGGAAGCTGAGATATGAGGATCTCAAGTTCAAGCCAACCTCAGCAACTTAGTGAGGCCTTAAGCAACTTAGTGAGACTCTGTCTCAGAAATAAAAAGGGCTGGATGTTGCTCAGTGGTAAAGCATCCCAGGTTAAATCCTGGTACCATATCAGAGTATATACGGATTTAAATTTTTATTGCACTTCAAAAACTTTCAAGTAAAAATATCTGTAAAGAATTTTATGAATGCAGATATTATGGTATTATTCTTTATTCTCTTTTTTGTGGTACTGGGAATTGAACCCACGGCTTTGTGCATGCTAGGAAATTGCTCTACTACTGAGCAACATCCCTAGCTCCTTATAAGATTATTATAATTGCACAATAAAATAAAAATGATAGCTTACATTTGTTTCTTACTGTGCTAAAATGACATAGTAAATCATCTAGGGGCTCTGTTCAATACGGCAGCCAATAGATACATGTGACTGTAGCAGATATACATCATTTCTATAGACAGGGCAGACAGAACATTTCTGTCATCACTAAACATTCTGAGGGAAGTGCTCATCTCATGCAGTCTACACAATAATCAATAAAGAGAGTACTATTAATATAAACTTTTAACTGATAAGAAAATTGAGGCTTAGGAAAGTAAGTAAGGAGAACAAGGTCATGTAGCTAGAAAATAGTGGAGCTGGGAAAGAACTCAGGTAATCTATCTCCAGAGTTGCATGCCTCCCCATCAATCACCTTTTAAGGCCTACTTTCTAAAGTGACAAAGAAATTTGAAAAGGAAAAAAACTGCACAGTTCTTAYACTTGGCAATAACAAGAACAAACAACTACTGTCTCAGTCTGTTGGCTCTTAAAGCCTGTTGGTATTCAAGAATTAAAAAAAAAAAACCCAAGGAAGCATCCAATTAAAGAGAGAGACTGAAAATAATAAAGTTGTACCTTTAAGCTTCACAAAAACCCTATTGATGTACATTCTTTCAGACATGAGGAAACAGAACTTGGAAAAGTTAAACCAATGATATAAAAAAGTGACTTTTAACCTGTTCTTTCTGGCTCCAAAGCCCATGTACTTTTTGGTGCCAACTGTCTTAAACCTTGTGAAATTCTGCATTGATAAATGCAGAGGAAGAGAATTGGTGYTCCTAAAAGAGGATCTTACATTGGTAACTCTGCTTATTAAGGAAGAGAAAATAAATGTCATACACTGAAATGGACATTTTCATTTCCCTCTACATTGTGRATGTGGAAAAATAAATAATTAAAAATCGGTTATTTGAATCAATAATTAAAAATCAATTTGAAATAATTGAGCTAATCAGCATTTTTCTCTTAAAGGACAAGCTTGTGTGGAAGAGGGCATTCCTGGTTTTGGGGTTCTCTGTGYTAGCTGTGTTCAGCAGTGTGCACTTTGGATTTCCTGGATCAGGAGGACTGTGCACATTGGTCATGGCTTTCCTTGCAGGCATGGGATGGAGCAACAAAAAGGTGAGCAGCATTTTAAATCTGGCTAATGGTTCTTTTTGGCCAGACTAATTTTTTTCTTTTCAGATACTTTCTTAACAYTAAATTAAGCAAAATTTTAATCATGAAAGTTATTTTCTGTCCATATGCAAATGTATACTCAGTGCATACATGCATATCCTTTTCCCTCCTTACATATTAATTTAAACTTGATGCTTTACTTAAAAATATATCATGGTCATATTATCCTGATGTCTTCCTTATTCTGTTTTTATTTTTATTATCTTTTATGGTTTTAGGGATGGAACTTAAAGCCTTATACATGCTAGGGCAGGGCTCTGCTACTGAGCTACATCCCCAACCCCTGTTTTTGTTTTTGTATTTTGAGAGAGGGTCTCACTAAATTGTCCAGGCTGACCTTGAAATTGTGATCCTCCTGCCTCTGCTTCCTGAGTAGCTGATATTATAAGCATGGGCTACCACACCAGTCTCTTTCCTTATTATATTACATTTTAATGGTTGTAGAATATTGCACTATATGGGTAGATGACACTTTATTTAACCAGTCTCCTACTGAAAGATGTTTAGGTTATTCTAGTTTTATGCCTAGATAAACAGTGCTTCAATAAAATATCTTCACATATACCATATTTCCTAAATTCTAAGACATTATCAATTCTTAAAAATACCATTACTTTATATACAACTAAGAAAGAAAAATACTACCAATTAAATTATACCATAACATTCTAATTTCAGAAATGTAAAAATGTCTTAAAATCAACAAAATATAGTATATCTTTGAGTTTCTTTATAGAATACATTTTTTAGAAATAGGATTGCTCTAGGAAAGAGTATGCATAATTGTATTTTTGAGAGTATCAATTTTCTACATTAAAAAGTTGTACAGATTTACATTCCCAACAATGGTATATAAGAGGATCTGCTTTTTTTATTTAAGTAATTTTTAGTCTTCAGATTGTTTGAAATCTGAGAGGTGAAAAATATATCACTACTAATTTGATTTATTTTTCTTTATGAGTAAAAGGTCTTTTTTGTCTGTTAGTTTCTGCTTTCTAGAATTGTATCTGCTTACTTTTCTACCAGTAATAATGTGATACCTATCTCATTACAACTTCATCTGCTTAGAATATAGGTAGACTATGATGGGAATCTGTCTGAAGTATAAAGTGTTGATTGTTAAGTTATTATTAAGTATATGCACTCACATAGACATCTAAATATATATTAACCTTTTGTACCTTTTTTTTATCTTGTTCAGCACTCAGATCTCCTATTTTTGTGGCATCAGACCTAACAATATCTTATTATAAGCTTTTCTCTCATAATTTAAAATTTTCCTTAAAGATATATCACTTATTTATATTAATAACCTTGAAAGGTAGATATTAGACCTATTTTCCAAATGGGTACACCAAGGATTATTAATATTTAATAGATTGCCTGAGGTCAAATAGCTAGTAAGTGGCAGAGCCTGGATAAAAACAGGCCATTTTTGTAAATCAAAATGGTTCCTTAAAGAAAGGAAAGAAAACTAATGTTTATTGAATCAGTAATATGCAGATACTCTCCATATCTTTTCTAATTTAGGACTCTGGATAAGTTCCTACTTCTGAGGGCACCAAACCAATGAGTCCAGAATTGGGATTCTTTTCTTCCTTGTTCAATAGGATAACATAGTATAAGAGCTGAGATTTCTAATGCTAATATCTACTCTGTAGTTTACTACTATATGACCATGTAGAAATTATCTAATTTCTCAAGCTTCAATTTACTTTTCTGTAAAATGGGGAGTGATTATAGCAACATCTTCATCGAGCAGAGGAATAAGTGAAATCCTCTAGAGCTTTTAGCACTTAGTCTTTGAATGAATACTCAGTAAATAATAGCCCTTATTATTTCTGTTGACTACTACCAAAGCAGCATGACATAATGAAAAGTGTATAAGATTTAAGCTATGGAGATGGAATTCTAATTCCAGTTCTACTACCCTCTAGCTGTATAATCCCAAGCAAATTATTTGCCTTCTTTAATACTGTTTTCTCAACAATAAAATTATTTTAAAAAATTCTACAAACTTGTTGTAACTATTACATAGGAAAATGGAAATGACACTCCTGTAAATTCTGCAATACTTTAGCAACATTGCTGTTAAGTTGTTATACTTTCTTTTTTTATTTAAATATTTCTTTAAGATAGAACACCACACTTCCACTCAATTAAGAAAAGTATTTTACTGTCCAAGGAGATTTTTTTGTTTTTTGTTTTTTTGTTTTGTTTTTTTACAGCTATTATACCATGATAGGTTCCAGAAGCTCAGATTTTTATTTTTATTGTTTTTAATAGTTCTCACAAAGTGTGCTTCTCTGGGGAGTGCGGGCTTGTGCTTCAGTTGAACCCAGCTACTTTCTCTTTGGCTTCCTTCTTCTTCTGATCATTTTCCTTCATGCATGCATTTCAGAAAGATATCTTGGGTTGATATGATCAATATACACATTGATTCTCTTGGCAAAACCTTGACCTTAGCTTGCATGTTTACATTGCCAACAGCATGCTGGGTAGCTTGTAGGCTCCCTGTTTTGCCGTGGTAACATTTGTGGGGCATTCCTTTTGAACAATATCCATTCCCTTGATGTCCACAATATCATCCTTCTTGCATATTCCCAGCAATGTGACCAAAGTAACAGCTTCATGTTTTCTAAAAGGCCTGGAGAACATATATCTGGTGCCTCTTCTCTTTCACTTTGTTTTTATTATTTTGGCAAATTACTGGAAGACAGCAGTTCCCCAAGTTGTTATACTTAAAGAAACTAAAATATTTTATAAAACTGTGTTTGTGTATGTATTTTTCTGACACAATCTCATGTTTTCTGCTTAGTTTTCATTATAATCATTAATTGTGTCTTTTAAATACGGTCACCGTTTTAAATCCCTCATTCATCTGTGTTTTCAAATTCAGTGCTTCTTTTGATGACCTTTATAATTATAAAGTTTTCTTTTCTTCATATACTTTGAATTTTATGAATTGCTAAATTATCTGAGAATTATCAATTCAAGTAGATATTTAACTCATAAAGAAATCTCCCCTCTTTCTCTTAACTTTCTTCTTTTGTCCATCCTTGGAAGTGATTTACATTTCTGAGGATTTTATAATGGTGTATAAAGATGTATAAAGTAGCCTTCATTTTCAACAGATAATAACTTTTATTGCTGTAGTCTTAACTCTTTTGTACTTTGCCTACTTGATGACTCCATTTTATTTAAAAAATCATTTTAGTTTTGAAATTATTTAAAAGCCATAAGAAGATGTGATTCTTCTCCCATTTTAAAGTTTTACAGTATATAATAAGCTCAAGTCCAGTGTCATAATAAAAAAAACAAATTGTGGCTTTTGTCTGCTATTTAGAAATAGAAGTAATCTGATAAACTCTTTAGTTTTTCCACTTTTATTGGTGTCCTGAATGTATGAAATATATTTGAAGACTCCCCTTAAAATTAGTCATCCCAACAAAAAACTAAGCAACTTAAAGTTAGCATCATTCATTCTTTTTTTATCATTATGATTATCAATTAAAGTCTAAGCTTTCTTATGATATTCTCAAAAGATTAAATTAGGGTAAAATTTGAAGATGTGTGGAAGGGTAGCAAATGGACTTGAGTTTTGGTAGAACTAGTTTTTGTTATTCAATGGTAAAAAATCTTAATATAAATCTATTATTTTACAAATAAGGTACTAAGATATAGGCTACTTGCAATTAATGGTGATAGTTTTGAACCTAAGTTTATCTCTTTCCTTATGATGTGAAACTATAAAGTTTTTGCATTTTATAGCTATAGAACTGTTAAATAAATCAAACCCTAAAGTGCTTTGTCTTTCAACATTTATAAGCTAACAGAAATAGAATCTTCACCCTAATAAACATACCAGAAATAATAAAAATTAAAATGAAGGGAAAAGAGAAATAATGTAATCTTTCTCTGTCAATTTGCTTAATAAGGAATTACAGATCCTTAAAGAGATATGACAGTGAGCATTAAATGTCATCTAAAAATATAGATTCTTATTAGTTAATTGAAAAGAATATCTGTTCAATGTAAATTCTTAAACAATGTTAACAGATCCTAATTTCTCTTCCATAAAAAAGCTTATCAATTTGCTCTCCTACCAATTAGAGTTTCCTTTCAATCTCACAAATACTTGACGTTATGAAAACTTAATATTTTTTCTTATGTAATGGGTCCTCCTTCCTGCCCCTCAAAAGATCATTTTAATTTGTGTTTCTCTGATTTCCCTGAGTTTTAGCATCTTAATTTCTTTGGCCATTTACACTTTTGTGTTAGAAATATCTTCATTTACTTGTTTTGCTGTTCTTAGCTCATCTTTTGTTTATAGTTGTCACAGAAATAAAGCCTATCTTGAGCTGGAGATGTAGCTCAGTGGTAGAGTGCTTACTTAGCAATGCAAGAGGCCCTGCATTTGATCTCTAGCAACACACACACACACACACACACACACACACACACACACACACGAAAGAAAGAATCTGTCTCAGATCAAATTATTCTGATTCAATTAGTTAAGTTCTTGACATTTGTAGCTTCACATAATAAAAATGCATGTGTTTTGTTTGTTTTCTTTAGGCAGAGGTTGAAAAGATAATTGCAGTTGCCTGGGACATTTTTCAGCCACTTCTTTTTGGACTGATTGGAGCAGAGGTATCTATTGTATCTCTCAGACCAGAAACTGTTGGTAAGAATTTCAAAGTGCTTCTTGAACTAAAATCAGGTCTTTTTATATTCAGGAGAAATATATTCAATGGTTATGTGTTCAGTGGTTCCCACTTTTACAGTTAAATAAAATGTTAATTATGATCTGAATCTTTTAGAGTGGTTGGTTAGAAAACAATGCTTGTTAATCTAAGACATTAAATTCTATTCCTTTAATACAGTTCCTGGTAAAGAAAAAATCACTACTGACTCCTATCCAGAAAATTCAGGTGTTAAAATTCTTTTTTGAAGGATAGGAATGTTCATCTAGCCCTGATCTGATTAAGGGCTGGAATTTTAAAGATAACTAGTTAGTTCTATAATAAGTATCCATGAAACACAAATGTTTGTTGTTCACTCAATCTTTTATTCACTCAAACAATTCAAAAGTACATTGATTCACACACAGCAATGTGTATATATATTCATTCTTTTCTCCTTTCCTCATCACGATATTCTCCTATCCATAGTATGAGCCCCATCCCTTGCTACTGCCTTCTGAATCACACATATAGATTCTTTTCTTTTTCTCATGCATCTTCAAATATACTTGTTACAGTTTTTTCCTCTTTAGAATTTAATCAGTCTCTAATCTCACTTATCTTTTTTAAAAATTTTTATTTTGTAGTTGTACATGAACAGAATACCTTTATTTTATTTGTTTATTTTTATGTGCTAAGGATCAAACTCAGTGCAAGCATTCTACCACTGAGCTACAGCCCCAGCCCAAATACTGAAAAATAAATATTAAAAAAATTCTCTCTCTCTCCTCTCTCTCTCTAAAAGAAAAAAAAAGATATTAGTAAAAAAAAAAAAAAACAATATTCTCCCATTCTCACACATGCTACAACATGGTTAAACCTGGAGAACATTAGGCTAAGTGAAATAAGCCAGTAACAAAAAAAAATTAATACTATTATGACTCCACTTATATAAGGTATCCAGAGTAGTTTGTGGTTGTCAGGGGCTAGGGGTAGGGGAAAGTGAGCACAGAGTTTTTAAATTTTTAAGTTTTGCAAGGTGAAAATGTCCTGAAGATTGGCTGCACAATAGTATGAATGTGCACTTAAAAATGGCTAAGTTGGTAGATGTTATAAGTATTTTACAATTTGAAATAATGCATACATGGAAAAATGTATTGAAAATAGATAAATATATGTATTCTTTCTTCATTTATCTTGCCTATTACCTATAAACATTATTTCTTTTTTCCTCCTTTTGAACTTAGATTCCATTTAAATTCCCATTCCCTTCCTCAATACATTTCAGTCTACTTCTGGCCCATCATATAACCAACTGTGTTCTCAGAATGATTTCATTGCTAAATCTTGCCTTTGTTTTACTTGATTTCTCAAAATCATTTGGTGCTGTGTCTCTTTAAAGCACTCTTATATTGAATTCTGCTATTTTCCAGAGTCCTCCAAGTCCTCATTTATAACATATGTAGCTTAAACATTGCTCTTCATCAAAGTTTCTACCAAGGCTTTTCATTCCTCTATCAATTCTCTGATCTTACTTATCCCAGTGACATCAATTGTAAACCATCTCATTCCAGAATCAAATCTTTTGTATCTTGTGCAGCAGGCAACAGACACTTTTGAATACCCGAGAGAAATATGTTTCAACAAAGAGCCACAAAAACCTTCCATAAAGAAATCATATTGAGGGTTCACAAAAGACCCTCCTGTGATGTCTATCCTTTGAACTTGAAAAAATAACATATCCCTTCTGAACTTCACATAGACATTGCAGGAGAATCTGTTGTGAATCTAGAATATGGTTTCTTTATGAAACTCTTGTGGCTCTTTGTTGAAGACACTAGCCGTCTATAGCTCCATCTGATTGGCTCATTCCCTTCATGCTGGCTGATGAATATTTTTAATATCACCTCTAATTTTATACTCTGCAAAGAGTTCTCAATTACTTTGATGAAATATTATTTTTTCCACTTCTACGAATACTTACCAATTTGTTTATCCTTCAGTTATCATATAGTATTTATGAATTAGATATTTATGTTTCTGCCTTTTTCTAATTGTAAGGCTCATAGAAGCAAAGTTTGTACATGATACATTTTTGTGTCCCCAGTAACTAGCTTAAAGCTTGACATTCATGATATCATTTAATAAATTCTTGTTAAACAAGTAGAATAAAGTGTGGCTCTTACTATAAAAGTATATGAGAGATAACATTCAAATCTCCTTTGTAAAAATTCAAATATGTTGAATTTCTGGTTTTAATCTAAGGGAAATATCTGTTTTTGAACAAACTGATCAATACTTAATATTGATTTTTTTCATAAATAATGCCTAATCATTGCAATATTTTAATAGTTTAATGTTTTAAAATTATTGCTGTTAGTGTTATTTTTTTGAATCAGCAACTAAATATGAGATATTTTGTTATTTCTAAAAATGAAGTATTTCTTTCAGGCCTTTGTGTTGCCACCTTGGGCATTGCAGTATTGATACGAATTTTGACTACATTTCTGATGGTGTGTTTTGCTGGTTTTAACATAAAGGAAAAGATATTTATTTCTTTTGCATGGCTTCCGAAGGCCACAGTCCAGGTAATGATGGATAGGATGTCTTAGCACTTTATAAGACTTCTTAAGATGACAAATAAGAAGACTTGTTTAAATTTTGTGAAAATTAATAATTGAGGTGGATTTAGGAAACATTTATACTAATACACTCTTTTAAAGTTTATTTTTGGTATGTTGGTGATTAAATGTGATGGCTCATTTAAATTTCTTTAGATCACCAGAATATAACTAAAATTCCAATAAATTCCTACAGTACTAGAAACTGGTGGTGACAGAAGGGAATGGTTTGCATTTTCATAAGTTAGAGCTCCCTAAGTCACTGAAAGTGAGAGTTTTTAACCCTTTTTATTTCATTATCTTCCCAGAAGAGTAAAACAGAAATGGCTTGACCCATTTAATGTTTTGAGAAACTTCAATGTCAAAAAGATTAGAATAAATTATGATTTGTCAGAAATTGCATATGTAATTGAGAAAAGATTTATTGAAGAAGAACTCAGAAAAAATGCTTTTCAGTAATCTTCCTTTATCCATAGTTTCACTGTCTGTGGTTTCTCTTACCCATGGCCCACCCAGTCTAAAAATATTAAGTGGAAAATGCCAGAAATAAATAATTCTGTACTTTTGAATTACTTGCCATTTTGAATAGCATCGTGAAATGTTGCACCATCTTGCTTTGTCCTGCCTGSGGACATAAATCATCCCTTTGTCCAAAGTATCCACTCACCTGGTGGTCACTTAGTGTTTGTCTCAGTTGTCATATGAACTGTTTCAGTCTTGCAGTGCTTGTTTTCTTTTCTTTCTTAATTTTTTGTGTGGGGGGTTGGTGGTACCGGGGATTGAACCCAGGGGCACTCGACCACTGAGCCACATATTCAGCCCTGTTTTGTATTTTATGTAGAGACGGGGTCTCACTGAGTTACTTAGCACCTCACTTTTGCTGAGACTGGATTTGAAATCTCGATCCTCCTGCCTCAGCCTCCTGAGCTGCTGGGATTACAGACATGTGCCACCATTCCTGGCAGTAGTGCTTTTTTTCAAGTGACCCTTGCTTTACTCAATAATGGCTCCAACTTGCAAGAGAGTGATGCTGGCAATTTCAACATGCCAAAGAAAACCATTAAGTACTTCTTTTAACCTTTAGTTTAAATGGTGAAAGTTCTTCACTTAAAGGGGGAAAAACATGGTAATATGTAGGGCTCAGGGCTATCTAGAATTTCATTCATCCACTAAGGATTTTGAAACATAACCCCCACAGATAAAGGAGGACTATTGTATTCATTTCCTAGATCATTACTTGATATGACATGTGTCTTGATCACTTGACACAAAATTTGTGCACTCCAATGAACAACGTACAAAGAAAGCCCTTAAGGATAGGTGCTTGAAACTGTTGACCAAGCACGCCTTAGAATACTTTTTATTGCTAGTTAAATTAGAACTGTCTAGATTATGATTTATTGCAAATGCAATACATCCCTRATTATATTGTGTATTTACAGATTAATTATATCTAACAAGATTAAACTGTTCTATACCTGATTATTTGGCAATTATTGAAGTATGTAAACTTTTATTGTCATAAACTGAAAATTAGATGTTCTTAATTTAAGTGGCTTTGGAAGATGTGTATGTTCTCTAATTATATTCCAGATTTTGTGTGGCCCTGAGCTTGGGTATTCTTCCTGAAAAAAAAATTTTCCATCAGACTTTCAAAAGATTTCAGAGATATAATGGCTCAGAGATAGTGCAATATAGTAAATGGAATAATTTCTCCCTCACAGTGTTTTCAGCTTTCATTCAAATTCTAGTAACTTCAATAGATAAATATCAAAATAATGACTTTACCTTGTGTATGAGAGAGTTGTTTCTAAATGTTAAAATTTGAAAGCTAGCACTCTCCCACCATGAGAACAACATTTAAAATAAGTAAAATTATCTAGGATGTGTTGGATAATGTAAGTCTAATGGGAGCAAGTACAATCATCTCTCAGTACCCATGGGGAATTGGTTTCAGGACCACATCTAACTACAAACATCTGCAGACACTCAAGTTCCTTATATAAAATGGCATGGTATTTGCATGTAATTTATACATATACTCCCATATAGTCTAAATTATCTCCGAATTATTTATAATTCCTAATACAATATAAATGCTGTGAAAAGTGGTTATACTGTATTTTTGCTTATTTACAAATAAATAATATTTATTTATTTGTCTAGGGATTATTGACAAGGAAATAGACTAGGCACATTCAGTACAGATATAATTTTTTTATATTTTCAATCTGTATTTATTGAATTTATAGATTCAGAATCCATGGACAGGGAGGGCTGACTATATTGTATAGAATTTTCTTTTTCTTCTGTTGGCACTACAGAAGAAATAAGACTTTCTAATATATGCATATTCTATATTAGTGATACTAGTGTTTTTAAACTTTGTCTGTGATCTGTTATAAGAAATGTATTTGAAAGCACAATTCAGCATACACACAAAACCCAAAATGTACATACACAAACACACATGTGCTAGTCAGCTTTTCATTACCGTGACCAATTACCTGACAACAACAACTTAGAGGAGGAAAGGTATATGTTGGGCTTCGGTTTCAGAGGTTCAGTTCATATTTGGTGAACTCCATTGCTCTAGGCACAAGATGAGGCAGAATGTCATGGCAGAAGGGCATGACAGAAGAAAGACATTCAGCTTTTCATCACTGTGACCAAATTACCTGACATCAACAATTTAGAGGAGGAAAGGTTTATGTTGGGATCATGGTTTCAGAGGTTCAGTTCATGTTTGGCCAGCTCCATTGCTCTGGGCCCAAGATGAGGCAGAATGTCATGGCAGAAAGGAATGACAGAAGAAAGCTGTTCAGCTCATAGCAGCCAAGAAGAGGAAAAAGCAAGAGAGGAGCCAGATGTAGTCCAAGGGCATGCCTCCCAGTGACCTCTTTCCTCCAGCCTGCAGTGACCACCCAGTAATCCATTCACATTATGAATCGATTAAATGCATTAATCCAGCTGGAAGGTTACATCTGTCATAATCTAATCATCTCACCTCTGAACATTCCTGCATTGCCTAACACATGAGCTTTCAGTAGATATTCAAGATCCAAACAATAACAACACACAATAGAGAACTGAAAGAGAAGTAGGCATTGTAATGTAATGTGTGAAGCACATCCAGGAATTCATAAAATGTTGAAATTAGTTACGGAACAGAGTAACCCACAACAACAAAGAGCCTCTGTGTGTAGGGACTAAATAAAACAGATTTTAAAAAATCTTTTACTAACAATCCAGCAAGGACATTCCAGACCTGTCAAGGTGAGCACAATCCTCAGCATGTGCCTTCTACCCAGGAGTCCAGCTTTTAGTATTTTTTAAATCCAATTTGAAGGGAGAAATGAATAAAATATATATGTCCATTCCTTTCAGGAACAATTTATAAGTAGCAGTTATCACTTCTACTCATCTCTTAGTGGCCAGAACTTAGATACAAGCTACATCTAGGTATAAAAGAGGCTGAAAAAAAAATATAAGTTCTCTGATTGAACAGCAATGTGACAGAGAAAACTGGGGAGTTTTATTATAGAAGGGAAAAGAAACATTTAGATATTTGTGGGCAACTAGCCCTTGTGTCTGATGTATAATACTTTCTCTTCTGTTTTATTATTTTAGAGGTGAACATTTTTCTGCTAAGGAATAAGAGGTTAACCACATTGATCAATACATCTTTCCCCATGTACATTCATAATAATACATTTATCCTCTAAAAGAAAATGAGAATTTTCATAATACTCTCTAGGAGATACATTTTAAATAAAACATTTCACCAACTCTGGTGGCAAAGTTAAACAAATACCTAATAAGATTAACTTCAAGTTTTGAAAGTCTCTGCTGCTTTCATGTTTCATGCTGTTTGAACCATTAGTTCAGGCTCCAAACTAATACTTATTCATTTAAATCTTCCAATAAATATTATTCCTTTTATAAATCATTTTAATTTCTCACTTGCAAAGATAAATGAATGAAACAACTAGTAAGTTTCATCTTCACTCCAAAGAAATTTGTTATATAGCACTTCAGGCTATATTTGATTAATAGTCCATATTTGCCTTGCGTTTTGAAATGTAGGTGACTGACCATTATTAACCAAGCCTTATGCAAAGAGGTACATTGGAGTCAACAGTCTGTCCCCATGCAAGAGCAGAATTTATAGATAATTAAAACCAGCTGCAGTAGGTGTTGAAAGAAGACAAATTCAACTTTCTTAGTTGAGCCAAAGAATAAGAATGTTGTTTTTGCAAATGATAACATAAGTCATTTTTTAAAATATGTGCTTGTCTTATATTTCCAACCTTACCCTTAAACTTTTGTAGGCTGCAATAGGATCTGTGGCTTTGGACACAGCAAGATCACATGGAGATAAAGAGTTGGAAGAATATGGAATGGATGTGTTGACAGTGGCGTTTTTGTCCATCCTCATCACAGCCCCAATTGGAAGTCTGCTTATTGGTTTGCTTGGTCCCAAGCTTCTCCAGAAATTTGAACAGCAAAATCAAGATGAGGTTCAAGGAGAGACTTCTCAACCAGTTTAGAGGTGAAAGAAAAATGCTGAACCCAATGATAAAAAGCTTCTCCCAGAAGCCAATTTCATCAGAATGGATACTGATATTTGTAATATTTTAAATTTAAAATGTAATAGAACAAACGTGTTACTGTCTTAAACAGCATTTTTAGCCCTTGCCTTTAGCATGTGGGTGGAAATGTTCTACATCTACGGATGTCTTTTTTTTTCCCCCTAGACACCCCTTCATCCTTTATCTTAATTTGTATAAGGACATATCTACTTTACTGCCACGATTTAAAGTCAACATGGCAGAGACCAAGTTCAGTACCTTCCTCAGCTATCCAATAGCTTGTTCTAACTTACTGTAACAGTTTCAGGATTCATGGTCACTGAGCTCTCATGACTTGAATTGTTTCTGGCTTCACTTCCTTTTTTATTTTTAAAAACCAAAATGCAGTCGCTTGTCAATTTCTGCCCTTACTATTCTTCTCCTTCTCTATCTTTACCTTTCTCACTCCCTTTCTATGAAGTATTGTAACTGTTTGGCCCCACCAAAATTTTAAAGTATACAAAGTGTCTTCATTGATTCTTGGTTTTGGTCCATCCAGATATTAAAAGAACCTATCTATCCCCTACCTGGATACTCAGTCCTCATGTCAGTGGCCCTTCTGAATCTACCTCCCAATTGTGCCAGTTCCCTGATCCAACTCTTATTTGCTTCTTGTGGCCCACATCTTTGGGCTTTTCCAATTCTCTAGTAAGAGAGAGCTAATTTTTCAAATCTTGGCAAATGTCATGAAATGTCACATTAATTGGGGTAATATAAGTTGCTATAAGGAGGGAATCAAAAAATAAATTCTCAAAACACAATTCTATTTCCCTCTCATGAAACTGGTGGTCAGTTAATGCTAATAAAGGGCTTAGCTCATGGGGCTTCTCTGAGACCCATGTCTTTCTATCGTGAAGGTCTGCCATGCCTTAGCTTAGAACCTGGTTTAAAGACAGATCTCTACCAGGTCTCTTTTTTAGCCCTTGGGGTATGGGAAAAAAAGAAAATGCATGTAAAGCCATTTATTTTTAAGGAAGTGATGTGGAGGTCAGACACATTTCTCTTCTTACTTTCTATTGGTGCTGACATTATCCAGCTGTGAGGAAGCATCTCTACCTAAGCATGCATATCCCTAGGGGGAAGGCAAGTTAATACTTGGCCAGAGCCACCATTGTGTTAGGTTTTACTAACATTACTTAACAATATTAACAATGTATTTTTGCATGTTATCAGGGGTTTTTAAAGATGGTAACTAAAGCAAAAGATTAACTTGTGTCTTGGGAATTCCAGACATTGTGACATGACAGCAGAGAAAATAAGAAGAAAGGTGAACCTGCCCATAAGTCATATTTTATCCCACTTTAGAACAGGCTCTCTCTGCTTTTATGTATCACCCCAAATCCCTCTAGGAATACTAGGTCATCTCTGTCCTCGCTGCTAAAAGAATAACACTCAAATATAGTTTAGGTTTCTTTTTTTTTAAATTTTATTTATTTTTTATTAGTTGCTCAAGATAATACAATGATCTTGACATATCATACATTTGATTCAAATAGGGTATGAATTGTCATTTATCCAAATGTACAGATTGCAGGATCACATTGGTTATACATCCATGTGTATACATACAGCAATCCTAGTATCAGTTGTATTCTGCTGCCCTCCCTCTCCCCCCTCCCCTCCCCTCCCCTCCCCTCCCCTCCCATCCCTATTGTCTACCCATACTACTGTGACACTTATCTCCCTCTCTCTCTCTCTCTTTTTTTTTCTTCCCTTCCCCCTCACACCATCGTATATGTATTTTTAGGTTTCTATCATGACACACATTAATTTATATGTGTGCGTGCATGTATATATATGTGTGTGTGTGTGTGTGTGTGTGTGTGTATCTCCAAAGTGTTTTTTGCTTATCTGTCATATCCCAACTAACCCTTTTGACCTGGAATTCAAAGTACAATCTAATTTTTTAAAAAAATTTTTGTAGTTGTAGATGGACAGCATGCCTTTATTTTATTTGTTTATTTTTATGTGGTGCTGAGGGTCAAACCCAGTGCCTCACACATGCGAGGCTAGCACTCTGCCACGGAGCTACAGCCCCAGCCCTACAATCTAATCTTGAAGTAGATATTAAATATGTATTAAATAACTGAATTATGAATATTCTAATCCTACAAAGCTAATCTCCAGAATGCCAGCCCTTTCCACCATGGCTCTTCTAACTAACTTAATATTCACCTCTTTTAAGCAAAGAGTTCATTCTTATGTCAGCCTGACTCTAGTTATTCTCTGGTTCTGTATTTTTCTCAGTATGAATAGAATTAAATTATACCAAAAGTCATATGGGTGTTTCAAATTGAACTTTATTAATTAGGTACACTTTGATGGGACACCATAAATGTAATGCTTACCTGTTTCTCTACTTTTGCAGACTCTGAAACTTCATTCCTTCAACAGATAACAGTTGTCCTGGACATCAGTGGAAGTTAGGTTCAAGTTCCCCATTAGATACCAAAATGTATGGATGCTTAAGTTCCTTATATAAAATAGAGTGATATTTGTATACAACAGAAACACATCCTCTTATATACATTAGGTCATCTCTAGATTGCTTATAACACCTAATATAATGCCTGCCTATCATTTCATTCACATGTACTGTAGTACTCAGTATGCTACAAATTCAAGTTTTGCTAGTTGGAAATTTCTGGATTTTTCCCCCAATATCTTTGATCTCCAGATTTTTGAATTCATAGTTGTGAAACCCCCAAATAAAAAGGCAACTGTGCTTACTGAAAGTCTTTGGTGATGCAGGCACATCATCAGGACTAGTCCAGTTCCTCTCCTTAAGGATTTGACAGCCTAGTAGAAGAGGCAAACAAAAGATTACAAAATAGCTTAAGAGCTGTTATACAGACTTCCATTTCTAATGCTTTGGGATCCTGAAAATTTTTAATAGTATTCTGATTTGGTTAAACCAATTATATTTTGTATAAGTTAATTAGTATTCCAGACAGTTACTTGAAGAAATGACTACTGATGACATGCAAACTGAGTTCACAGCATCACCTTCCTCTAAGAGGTGTTCCTCCACTTCCCCACTAAGAACAAGCTGTAAATTTTTCATTTGGATTTCAGCTTTTGTATACATCTTATTTGCTAATAAGTTTCTTAGAGGAGGTGATACTTGACTTGGGTGTTCCAGAGTGGACAGAACTAGGATGGATAGGTTAATAGCAGAGAGTAAGGTAAAGATAGGAATAACAAGGTGGAAGGCTGGAAGATGAGCAAAGTTTGAAGACAGTGAAGTCTGGAACATAGTGATTAGCACTTGAGCTTGATAAAGAGAATTAATGAGAGATAAGGCTAGAAAAGTGTAGAGAGCCAGTCATGGGCTATGTGTGTAAGCTGTGAGTATTTGAGCACATGAGGGGACTGGACTGACATTGCTTCTCTGATTAATATTATATTCTATTTTACCTCAGTGTTTTTTTCCTAAAGTTATTTTGTACTCTGGGAATGTGTGTGTTCTTTTTGTTCACTCTGCCTTTGATCCCACACACCCCCGAGATGGCATGGCTTTCTGCGAGATGTTAGTCAGATCTGCTAACTGCAAGACATCACCAAGCAACTCCCTAAAACCAATCCCTTGCCTTATTTGGGTTGAAATTTCTAGAATGTCTTTCTCCCCAGTAAATAGAGGATTTTCAGGTAGCTCACTCTCTCTCTCTCTCTCTCTCTCTCTCTCTTTCCAACAGACTCTTAAGGTGGAGAGCCGTCCCCAATTCCTGCAAGCAAAAGGTATTTCTGTGTGTTGCGTGCTTCTTTTGCTGTTTTCTAAAGTTATTGGTACAGTTTTTGTGAACCCAGCTCAGGTCACCAGCCCAGCTAGTTGGCGATAGAAAAAAAGAGTTGGCATTGAAATTATACTTAATAGATCATTGGTCAAATTTTTATTTTATTGAAGTACAATCAGAAATAGAAAGCTACTAATGTAAAAGATATTTTAAAAGCTACTTTTAATTATGTCAAATATAGTGGAAAATGTCAGTATAAGTAAAGTTCTAATTTCTGAAAATTTTTTGCTTTCTTTGGCATTTTTTAATATAATTGATTTAATTATTTTAAATTTATGCTAATTGTTTACAAGCAAGGATATCAGATAGATTAAAAATTCTAAGACCCTTGTTAAAGTTTCATTATATTATCTTCAAATAAATGAAAGACATTACTATTTAAATGTCTCAGAATATTTTCCATATAAATCATTTATATAGTTCTCTGTAACAGGGGAAATTGCTTCATGCCATTTTGGAAACAAGAAATACCACCTGTTTTAGATGACTCATTCAACTTAAGTCTAGCCTAGCACTGACCTGGTGGAAATTCTCAAAGTGCATTTGTTGATGTGCCTTTCATCTTCCTCACATGGATCCTAAAGTACTCAAATCTCTAGGAGTCTTAAGCACAGAGCAGTGCTATTGTGTCCATCACACTTCTGGGACAGGTTCTTCCTCCCAGCTCTGCCATCTATTCCTCCTTCCAATATATATCATTGGGGATCTAACTGTGTTTCCCACAGGCTCAAGTCATTATCTTACCCTAAGACAAAGACCCTGTCTACTTTGTAAAAGGAGAGAGAAAATAATTTCAATCCTTGCTGAGAAAGTTACACCATGCTGAAGGTGCTATAATAAAAAGATGGGTTCTTATTGTCACTCAAGAAAGGGATGCAATTTGAGTCAGACCCTGTGTTACTCACTTTCATTCACTGTACAAAATACCTGAAATAATCAGCTTGTAAGAAGGAAACGTTTATTTGGGGTTACTATTTCAGAGGTTTCAGTCCATAGTTAGTTGGTCCCACTGCTTTTGGATCTGTGATAAGGCAGAATGTTATGGCAGAGAAGCTGCTCCCCTCAAGGCCAGGAAGCAAAATCAGAACCAGGAAAAGGGTAGGGTTCCTAGCATTCCCTTTAATAGCTTGCTCTCACTTACAACTTCCTTCCCCTAACTTCCACATCTTCAAATTTCTACAACCTCCTAATAGCAAGCACCATGGACTGGCAACCAAGCTGTTAGCATATGGGCTTTGGGGGGATATTTAGAGTCTACCATAACAGACTTAAATATGAAAAAGAGAAAGTGAACATTCCCAGAGTACAAAATAACTTTAGGAAAAAACATAGAATAGAATACAATGTTACAAAAAAATAGAATACAGTGTTAAGTAGTAAAACTTGTTTTGATTGTCAGAAGTTAGATAGGAAAGAACAGTTTGTCTTTCTAAAAGTTTTGGACTTTCTTCAATAACAGTGGTTTTTCAACTATTTTAGGAAGCCTTGGAATTCCATTAGAGGAACTTGATGGACGACTGTGTGGACACAAACCCCAAAACTTCTGGACCCACCTTCAATCAAAATGGATTTCATTTGAAAGTCTCCTCATAAGATTTCATGAGCAAAAATTAAAAGGTTTTATTTTGATAACAGTACATTGTTTTCTTCTTACCAAACCCTGTCTCAGACACTTGCCTTCTCTCATTTATACTCAAACCAACACCACAACATCCTTTACAGATGAGAAAACAAGGTCAGGAAGATAATAATGTCTTCGTCTAGATTCCACAGGTAGAAAGTGATAGAACCGAACTTTGAACCCAGGTAGCACTAACTCCAGAGACTATGTTGTCTTACTCTTTGGCATACTTAAGCTAATTTCAGGTCAGGGAAAACCCAATCAGAATTTTGACAAGGTATACTTTCGGCCCCTGCAATCCTAGGCACTGCTTCCTGGCTAAAATGCCCAATAGTGTCAACTTTGTTTCTGGACTTTTAAAACTCGATAAGTCAATATTCAGAAGTCATCTAAAGAAAAGGGTCGAATAAACTCACAGGGCACCCGGAGGAATCAAGACAGCCGGGATGTCACTGAAACGTGCTGCCGCCAGCCCCGCCCTGTATTTTCTGGCCCCGCCCCCGACCGCCGCCGGCCCCGCCCCCGACCGCCTCCGACCCCGCCCCACAGCGTGAGGCGCGTGGACTGCACAACCGTTGCTGGGCGCCTGGGCCGGCGAGGGTTGCCAAAGAAGTTGTAGGTACGCCCATTCTTCTGGATTTTCCCTTTCCAGGCTCTCTCCCACCGATATTTCCCTTTCCGTAGCCCCAAAGAACAAATTTCCCCTCAGTCTAAGAAGCACATATGGGCTCCAGACGGCTGGGGAAATAGACTTTTCCAGGCCTTTCCCTGACTCAAGGCACATGTCCCTTTTCTGGCCCTTCCTCTGTTTTCTTTTTCTCCTCTTCCAAGTACTTACAAGAAATGCTTTTTACTCAAATTTGACTGCAAAACTTCTTTTTATTAAGTGTAGACTATTATTACAAATGGTGAATGTTTGCAAACGAACCTTCCATGCTCCAGTGATTAGAGATGTGGAGAAGGGTTCAGCATTTGTTGCTGATCCTGAGAATGTCCCAACCCTGCTGTTCTTGGCTTTGTCACAGTGGACCAGCACTGAAAATCAGTGCTTTTGAAGGATAAAGAACAGTAGTTGCACACAAATGGTGTCAGGCACATCATTCAGAAGTTTTATAACAGTTATGCAAGATCACACCAGGCCCGGACAGAGCCTAAGAAAGATGAGATTGGGCTGTGGGGAGTGGCGATTGGCTAGGCCGGCATCTAGGGAAGCCACGTGGCACAATCCCTGATTTTTCATAATTTTAAATAGAATTGTTTTGGGGCGAGAGAAATACAAAATGTTATGCCTCACTATCACATATAGAGGATTCACTCCCCAAACATTTCATTGCTATGTGTCTACGAAAAAGATGTTCATATTTATTACCTTCTGTGAATACCAAAATTTATAATGCTACTTTTTAGTTGACTTTTGTCATAAGTTTCTATTACCAGACAAAGGAAAGAGGCAGGTACATAAGAGTAATAGATAAAGTACCATACACATAGCTCTCCTTTTACTTTCACAATCACCCTGTTTATACATTTCCTTAAGATAGGTTGTTAATAAAATCCCATTTTGCTGGGAAGGGAACTAAACACTAAGGTTGAAGAGTACCTGGAACATAGTGGAATACATAGTCAGTAAATATTTATTGATGGAATTAATGGTTAGGCTTCCCAAGGAGCCATTATTTATCCACTGCTGTATTCTGGACTAAGTCAGACACTAGTAAATCTACAAATGGGTGTCAAATAGAGAAGCCAACATGCTTAGGCACAAGCATTTATCAAACACTTTTGGAGACTCTCCTACTTTTCCAGGTATTATTTTAAATATTGTGAATAAAATATTAAGAAAGAATAGCACGATCCATGTTCTCATGGGTCATAAATTCTAGTAAAGAAAAAAATAAATGGTAAACAATATATAAACAAGGACTTTTAGATAATGGTAGGTGCAGTGAAGAAGTAAAATAGTGTGAAGTGAGACTAAGGGAAGACTTGCTTTAGATTGCTTGCTTAGGGAAGTCCTCTCTGAAGAGGTG